CTTATACTCAGTATCACCGATTGTTACTGGAACAGGTGTTCCCTTTGATTCCCAGCTGAATGTATTAGCATCTGGTGAATCGTTGATAGAGCTGTAAGATGTGTCTGAAGGGTTTGCCTTACAGCCGTATACAAAGTGAAGCTTATATGCGTATTCGTTGCCCTTGATGTCGTTACCAAGAGTTGTTCTGTAACAGAATCCGAATGTCTTTCTGTTCTGCTGACCGATATATACGCCAGGCATAATCTCCTTAGAACCGTCGCATTCACGGAATTCTTCTGGGTATGTATAAGCTTCGATTGTCATGCTGAATTCTTCAGTTGACATAAGGTCAAGATACTTAACGTCATCAGCATAAAGTGTTGTAGCTTCACCGCCAGATGGTGATTCCTGAACAGATGTAAGACCATTCCAAGCAACACCCTTAGGGTATGAGCCATCTTCAGCCTGTGGGTAAAGTACGCCATTGCGAACACCAGTCTCGTAAATTTTTTCACCAGTCTGGTCCCAAACAAGTCTAGCATGTTCTGCCATTGTGTGTTTCCTCCTTAATAGTAGATAGTATATACATAACAATTCAGACCGTCGGCAACATAATGTCTTGTAAATCTACACTGAGGTAAACTTGACAATTTTTCAAACATTGTGTTGTCTGGGTCTGGATCGATATATATCATTTCATATGATTTGTCCATTAGATAAGGCAAATCGTTTCCATGGGATATACGTACGTCTGATAGTTTGTATCTAATACATGGATACTTCATTTTTAATGACTCAGGAGGCTGGAAATAAACATTCCTAGATCCAAGTAACTGCTCCAGTATCTGCTGAAGTTCAAGTCTACTTCTCATTATATACGCCTCCTAAAGTCATTACTATTCGAGGGGCATTAGTATTGTCTATTGACGATACCTGAAATTTATACCCTTTGAACGTTACGTATTTAATATTCATAAGGTTTTTATTGATGAACTGGTTCGATAAAATACTAATAGTGTTGGAAATATCAATGTTACCATTAACACCATCACTAGAGACGTTCTTTCGAAAATCTCTTGAAATATCACCCATATAGGTCTTTTCTACGATTTTTTCTTCCCAAACGCCTGTACCGACACCGTTCACCATTCTTTCTTCTGTTACAAAGAAACCTATTTTACCGCACCATTTGTTCATCAAATCACCTCATTTTGACGGTTTTATTAGCCCGCTGCTGTGTATGTCTCGATAGCAATTGCTGAGAATGGCTTTGTGAGCGCACCTGAGCATCTTGTTTCGATAAGATACTTCTGCTGGTTGTAGTCAATGTCGAAGTCATCGAACATGTTTACAGCTCCGCCCTTATCAGCACCGATGTTGTAGTCATTCATGTTTACGATGATACCTACGAGATCGAGAGTCTTTTCAGCAACTGTTCTCTGAAGACCCTCCATGATTTCAACAGTAACGATCTTGCTTACACGGAATATGTTCTTGAGTTCGTCGATATTCTTGTAGAGCTTGTGACCGATACCATCTTCGAGAAGGAGACATTCTGTAATAAAGTCTTCTGTTGTGAAGAGTGCTGGGTTGCCTGAGCCCTTATACTTCTTTCTTGAACGGATTATACCGTCGATAATCTTCTTTGTCTTAGCAGCAATGTCATCTGCAGCAGCGAGATCAATTGTAGCCTTGATTGTGAAGAGATCTTCGTCCTTCCAGATTGGTCGGATACATGTTTCATCAATCTTGTCTTCAGAAGAAGCAAGTCTGCCGTCACCAACAAGAATAGCTCTTGCGAGTTCTTCGTTGAGCATAAGTCTCATTTCTGTCTTGAGCCAACTGATAGCATCGAAGTTACCAAGATCGATAATATCGTCTCTGTCCATCTTCTGCTTCTTATAGATTGTTGTAGGCTGAGTTGTTCTTCTTAAGAGTGAGAACACTTCTTCCTTCTTGTACTTGCCCTTGATGTAACCCTTTGCACGAGCCTCATCTTCTGTGATGTCTGCAAATACAGACTTGATGCGGCTGAAAGGTGTCTTGTGAGCGCCGTTAAATACGTCGTCAACCCATGTTGTATCTCTCTTGATGAACTCAGGAGTTGGGTTGAGGTTGTGAACTTCTGGGAAGAGCCATTCTACTCCATCAATGCCGTATTCTTCAGCATGAGCAATAAATGATTCTCTCATTGAACCGTACTTCTTAGCATCACCGATAACAGCGCCTTCCATTGAGTGAATGAGTTCTGTGTTATCGTTCTGCATTGAATCACTGTCGAAAAGATTGTGCTTCATATCTTCGTTTCCTCCATTATCATTATTTTCATCGATAGCCATACCAATGATTGCATAAACAGCGTTCTTCTGTTCGTCATTCAGGGTATCGAAAATTTCCTGAATTGTTTTATCTTCCATATCTGATTCTCCTTTTTCGGCATGTTCAAGACTTTCGTCTGTATTAGCGGCACCAGCATATGACTGTTCTGTAAAATCGTTTTCAGAATGTGATAAATATAAATTATTACCATCGTCATTTGTGCCGTAAATTATAGCTTCACTGTTCTCGATTCCACTTTCGCTATGAGCCATGTCAACATACTCAATGTGCGCTCCTGGATTTGCTCCAGACAGAACAAGAGATACTTCACGGATTGTACCATGAACTACTGCTGCACCATTACTCTTGAGTTCGTTTGCATATATGCTCATTGCGTTAACGTCACCGTGCTGAACAAGCTGTTTAGCAGTCTGTCCAGCTTCACTGTCATTAAATTCTGCATATCCATAGATGCCCTCGTTTCTCTTTTCAAGTCGAGCGTGTCCAAGAACATTGTCTACTGAATTATGCTGATGATTCCAAACAAGTGGAACAGTGACATTATCGCAGTGTGCAAAAGCGTCTCTGAGAATAGTTCTTCCGTCTGAGCAACGAATACCATATTTAGTTACCCATCCTGAAAAATCTACACTCATTTTGACGTCCTCCCTTAAGCGTGTTCCTTACTATAGAAGCAAAGTGATGTCTGATCAGCATTTACTGTGATCTTACCAGCTTCACCTGATACTTCATATGATGTAGGAGCGTAATATACGCCGTCGAGTTCAACCATGATGCCATTACCGAAAAGTCTGAAGAGTTCATTCTTATCGATACCCTTTGTCTTGGCCTTATCGTAGAAAAGATTACCGTCGTCTGCAGCAGCGAAAAGAATTACTGCTCTTACGTGCTGGTCATTAGCTTCTTCGTAGTGTCTTTCGGGCTTGTTGTAGTTAGCATTCTTAGATACTTCCATGCCTTCCTTTGGAACTGTAGTCATTTGTTATTCCTCCTCATAATTTGGGTAGTTTTGATCGTAACCTTCCTCTTGTTCATAAGGTTGTCCCTCATTTTCATGATTAAGGTTACTATTTAATAACTGATCTGCCTTAGGGTCGTCAGATGGTTTGAGACCAATTACCTGTCTGAATTCATTAGAACTCATAATCTCATTTCTAGTGAACTTATCTGCCATATCAGCAATGTTGTTCATTGGAACGAGTTTGAATGGATCTCTAAATGCCATGATTGCCTGACCCTGTGTTCGTGCTGTCTTACTTATGAATTTTCTTGAAAGTTCAGCAAGAACAGCAGTGATTATTGGATTAATTGTTCGCTGATAATAATTCAGCAAGGTTTGTTCATCAGCTGATCCGTCAAGTATACTCTGTGTTATTCCTAACTGTGAGTATAGCATGTTAGTAAGAAATTCAATCTGACTCATCAGCTGATTATCCACTGAACGGTTCAACTGTGTGATCTTTTCTGTGGCGTCTGTATAGGCGATTCCGTACTTCGATCCAGCAAGCTGCTGTTCAATGTCTTTTTTTCTTTCTCTCGCCTGTGCTTTTCTAGCCTCAGACTTTATGATATAAGGAAGCTGAATAATCAAGTCGAGTTTACCAGAACCAGATTGTTCATCTATTACATCAAGTAGAGAAAGTTTACGAATCAATCTCTGAAGTGTAGAGTTTGGTTCGTTCATTATTGAGTATAAGGGATTCTGAACTATAGCAACCATGGATTTAGGAAGTGTGTATTCTTTCTTCTGTCCAATTTTGTCGTTGTAGATCTGAACTCTTACTCTATCAGGAAACCACTCAAGAACCTTAGCAGTTCGAAATTCGTCGACATCCCAGCTTCCAGTGAATGGATTTTCGTCTGTTGCAACCGGAACGATAGCCACACATCCTTCGTCTAGTAATGATACGATAATGTCGAGCTTAAAATCGAAATGGCTTTGATCAATGTTGGCTTCCACATTAAAACAATTATTCAACCCGGTGTCCATATCGTCTTTATAACGCTTATTTTCATCAAGTCGAACATGTTTAATGTCATACATTGCAGTGTCTATTGCTATTCTGTTTAATACAGATGTAACAATAGTTTTTTCATTTCCTCTAGAGAATCGAGGTCTATCAGGTCGATATGCATATGATACTTCGCCTGATGAGTATCCAGAATAAGTTGTTGGGTCCTTATTCATGAACGCATTCCAACCATTCTTTATTCGGGATCCGATGGAAATTCGCTCCATTTTGACGGATTACCTCCTTATTTGTTGTTAGTGCCTAATACCTGTCTTTCTATACGATCTTCAACTCGTCGGTTCATCCACATAAGAGCTTCTTCGATATGATCCAACGCAAGAGCATTTTCTCGTGTCGCAAATTCACCCAGCTGAAAGTGTTTAAGTCTATCTCTTACAATTTCAAGAAGATCTGTGTCAAGAACGCCGTGTATTGAATCGTTTAACTTTCTAGGACCATTCTGAAACATGATTGTATGACACACGGATGGTGTGGCGGTTTCATCAATGTCACATGAACGTATTAAGTATTCGTGATTAGCTCCACCATTACCTGGTTCATCAATAGCCATAACGGTATTAAGCTTTTCACGTTTCTGTATTGTTGATAGTTCTCTAATTTTCATTTTTTTTCTCCTTTTTATTTTAAAACGTTAGTTTTATTTAGTTATTCTTCCTCAGAAGTTTCCTCTTCAGGTGTTTCTTCTGTTGACTCAGGAACAACCGGATCAAGTATATCAGCAAGTATCTGCTTTTCTTCATCGGATAATCCCTTGCTGTCTGCAAGTTCGTAAGCCTTTTCCTTTGTGATTATTCCTCTTTCGTAGAGTCTGATTATTGAAACAAGTTTACTTGACATATCAATCCCTCCTTACAGTAACTCAGCCATAGCTGCAAGGTCAGCCTGTACATCAGCAAACATCTTGTCAATCTGTGCCTTGCTGTAATTAGTATAAATGTATATTATTTATACCGTTGAAAAGTGTGTTTTATTCAGCAGAGTAAACACCTTCAATGAGTTCCATTACTTCAGTGTATTCCGATTCAGTAAGTCTGCTGTTGTTTTTATAGTTAGTCACCATATCGGTGATTTCTTCTTTGCTGTAAGTCTTACGGTTAATAAGTCTTACACATAAGTCCTTAACTGCTTTCATTCTGATTCCTCCTCGTTGAGAAGTAATATAGCTAACAGTTCATCCTGTTCAGCTACAGTGTCATCCATCTGAGCAACTTTTGCACGAAGGTATTCTAACTCTGCTGCTTCAGACGGAGCTAAGTTTGTACGTTTTACCATAATTATTCACCTTTCTGAGAATTGTTTATTATAGACTAACAGATTACACAAGCTGGTGCGCAACCAATTCTACTGTTACTATAGTAGCAGGTGTAGTAACCTGTCGTATGAACATAGGTCTCGTAGCTCGAGTAGTCACGATTAGCTGAACGCAACCAAATATGTTTGGCTGTGCTTTTATCTGCTAATGAGTACCTAATAGTGTTAGTGTTAGCAAAGTCTGGACCATAATCCTGTGGGGTTTCGCCCTTTCTCTGAATCCAGTATTCCCATGTAGAGCCTTCTCTATCAGAACCATCCCATCTGTTAGGATATTCACTCCATTTAAAATGTTCTTCTTTTGCAGATGGAAGGAAGAACACATCATATGTTGTATCATAAATATATGTAGTTTTTGAACCTGATGGATAAACATGATTTAATGCAGTTTCATGCTTTGTCTTTTTCAGCATACTGATGAAGTCGGAACTAAATCCTTTCATGAAACCATTTACAGAACTTAACTGTGATGGTGCAACATCACCAGTATGAGTTGATGTCCACCATAAACCTTTATCAGCACTTGAGTTTAACCACTGTCTGATACCAGAATACATCCATCTGTTCCAACCATATGATTTAACAATTGAATCAGATGACGAAGGTTCAGGTGCGTCAAACTGTATTTCTTCAACAGTAGCGTAGTGGCTCTGTATTATCATCCCCGGTACTTTTGAACCGTTTTCTAATTCAACCTCTCTAAAAGCAACAACATCAAAAGGCATATCGTACTGATTTCCATCTGTATCTGTGTATGTAGTAACAATTTGATCGCCTATCTTAAAGACATCTTCAGCCTTACCACTTCTAACAATTTTAGCAATTCCATTATATGTTAAATCAGAAGGAAGCAGTGGATATCCATCGCTAATTGCTCTGATTAATTCAGGAAACTTTTCCAACCCATCACCTTCAGCAACTTCAACGCCCTTGCTTGTGATAGCTTTAGCTATATCATTCTTAGCTGTCTCAAGTTTTTCTAAATTCTCTAAAAGTGTACTCATAACAGCCTCTCAATCCACGCATTTGTGTCACCTACGACTGCGTAAAATTCGTCTTTTATCTCATCTATAGCAGACTGAACATTTGTTGCTTCAAGTCCTGATTCAGAGTTATCATAGCTTACCTTATCAGCTGATGATGCTCCACCGCCACCATTTTTGTATATCGCTAAGAGTAATTCTTCTACTCTACTCTGTGGTTCGACCACATATTTACTGTCGTTTTTGAGTATTGCAGTTAAAATACTTTCAACATTGTTATTCGGTTCGGACATAATGTTTTCCTCCTCCATTATTATTAGTTAAGACTTAAATATCCAGCTAGGTCTTGTACCATGTCTGAATAGTTTGCTATAAAATTGCAGAGTTCTTCCTCCGCTTCAAACCAGTATCGTCGTTTTACGTATTTATGTAGCGTACCGATTAAACCATAACTAATCATAACGCAGTGTCCTAATTCGTGCAGTAAAACCTGACGTAATTTAATTGGATCGTTGACTAGTTCGATACTCAGATAAATATGACACGAACTGGGGTCAGTAGTTGCTAGCTTGCCGACCCCTGTACGGTCAATAAGTCGAGGATCATATGGTTCAACATAATAAACGCTCCATAAAATGTGGTTCATTACGAATTCCATAAATCCATCTCCTAATTATACAGTCATCTTAGAAACAAGTTCTGATAACTCTTTTTTAATCTTCTTACGAAGTTCTGGATCTGAATCGTCCCACATTTCGGATACACTGTCTATCATTTTATCAAGATGATGAGACGTGTATTTACCGTCTGTAGGTTTCATTTCCCATCCGTCAGCAAATGGACGACTATCTGGATTTTCTGTATACCATCTCTTATCTACAGAGTTAAGGTATGCATCCATATACGGTTCCTGATCAACATATGGTTTGTATGGTCTAGTGTAGCCGTATGTTGGCATTCTATAGCCATGCATTTTAGAACGATTTGAATGACTTGATGTTGGAGTATATCCATACATTTCATCCATCCATTCTGGTTTCTCAGATTCAGTTTCCATTGCTTCTGTAACTTTTTTGTAGTATTCGGACTCACGAAGATACTTTTCGGCTTCGCACATATCTTTGATAATATCTGCCACTTCGCCAACTTCTTTAGCATCAAGACATTCCATACCCTGACTCATAGCAGTTGACATCCAGCACATCGCAGTGTCCTTAATCTTACAAAGTTCGTAGATTTTTGATTCGGTCATTCTTAGTCACCAATCCTTTCTACGATAAGATTAGCGCCTGCAGCAACATCAACAGCAGTTGTACCTGTGTTTGTAATAGTTACTGTATCGAACGACTTGCAGCATTTACATGTCTTTTCAGTGATCGATGATGATACGTTAAAGAACTGTCCTGCTGCTCCAGGTGTTACGACCATTCTAGCTTCCTGTAATGGGGAACCACTTAAAGAAATCTGTAACTGTACACCTGTTGTCGGTGGGGTAACGCCTGTAGGTACAGCGATGTTACCTGAAAAAGTGATTCTATGCGAACCACCATTAAGTATTTTGACGGTAGAAGAACCGTCACGATGACAGCATCCACAACCGCAACCCATAATCTTTCTGTCGAATGATATAGATGCACCGGGAGCTAATGTCTGAAGAGCACTAGTAGAAAGTTCGAGCATAAAGCGTCACCTCCTATTAGCATCCGCATCCACAGCCATTTACATAACTAGCATTTGGGTTTGGAACAACGTATGCTGGAACTGCACAAGGCTTAATCTGATTGATGAGATACTGGTTCTGTTCTGACTGTGAAGCAGCGAGTGAGAGCCAGTTAATTCTGTTGTTCATCTCAGCAATCTGTGCGTCCTTAGCTGCCATCTGAGCTGCTACGTTTTCATCGTGGAGCTGACGGTAGTTTGCATTGTCATTCTGCATGATATCCTGAGCAGCCCTATTAATTGCTGTTGTGATAGTGTTTGTGTTTGTGGCGAGATTGTAGTTTACGCCCGCAATCGCTTCTTTGTTCTGACAGCAGCAATTAGAGATAGCTGTCTGGATAGCGTAGTTCTCCTGTGTATTCGCATTTGCGTTAGCTGCTAACTGAGACATTACTGCAGCGTGGTTAGTAGCTCTGGAGAGTTCTGCACTTCCAAGATTTGTATTAATCGCATAACCAAGATCAGCAATACCGTATGTCTGGCCGTCGATCTTAGAAATGAGTGTCTGCTGGTTGAAACCGTTCTGTACGTCGCTCTGACGTGCATAGTCATGAGGGTAATCACAGCCCCCACCATAGTTTCCAAATCCTCTATTACCCCAACCGCCGAAAAGAGCGAAGAGAATAATGAGAACCCACCAGCCATTGCCTGAACCTAAACCATCGTTGTTGTTTCCTGTCACTGCTGCGATGTCAGCGAGTGAAGGTGTTGAAGATACATTTGTGAACATAAAAAGTTCCTCCTTTGTAAAATATAAAAATTTAGTTTATGTATTTACATAAGAGGTGCGCGCAACTCTAAATGTACAAAGTAATTAACGGAGTCCGAAGAAAGCCTTAGCCTGAGCTATAGCTTGTTCACGACTCATACCCATTGTCTGACACAGATTATTAGCTATTTGTTCGCCTTTAGCTTGATCATTTGACTGTATTACATTTAAGTAATTTTGGGCATTTGGATTATTCGCCATATTTGGATTGTTGGCGATTAGACTTTGTAGAAGAGTATTCATCACATTCATTTCTTATTCACCTCCGTTACTTTAGTCTTTGGATCGATGAGTAGTTCTTCTAGTTCATCAAATCTTTTATTTATCAAATCAGATACTGGATCTGTTTGAGACTTTGTAGTAACGGATTGGTCTTCTAACACGTATTTTGACGTCTTGATAGTTCCGTCTGAGTTCCATGTCTTTACATAGATTTCAGAACCATCATTAAGTGGAAATATAGACGAAGACCCATCCATAGGTACTTCGCTTGCCACTACCTCGTTAATATTATTCACTGGACGTCCAGGAATAGATGGTCGCGGGGTTTGCTGGCTTGCGTAATTGTTGTTTTGTACACCATACGCAGGCTGAGTAGGATAGCCAGGTGTCTGAACAGGCATCTGGTTGTAGAGTGGATTTGTCTGTGGTGTGGTATACATTTGTCCCTGATTAGGGTATGTATACACGGGGAACATTGATTTAATCCTCCTTTATTAATAATTATTCAAACGCTTCTGGACAAGTTTTATAAGATACGTAAGCATCCATTAAGGCAGCCACACTATCTATCTTGGCGTCGTAGCGTTTCTTAAAGAGTTTTCGGTTACCGTTTGTATCTTCCAGGGTTATGCAGTTACCCATACAGTATTGCATGATGGCTTCGTCGAACAAAAGCATTCTTTCCTGACTTAATTTTTTCAATTCACCAAGAGGAACGCTTTCGGTCCTAGCACCTTGTATTACTTTTACGATACCAAACGGTCCATTTTCTCTTTCCCAGCGATCTACGAAAGCAGTTGCGTTATATGGGTCGAAACCAAGGGTTCTAACATCATAGTCACACTCTGCTACGTGATTGTCGAGATCTTCATACACGTCCATCATGTTAAGAGTTGTGCCATCAAGCACTATTAAACTTCCTTCTTTCATGAATTCTTCATACTTAAATCTCAAAGCTGGTTGGAGTTTGTGAAGTGTTAATTCTGAAATATAACAACGAGTTTTTACGCCGAAGCAACCATTTGATAATGGAAAGAGAAATGTGAATGCACAAAAGTCGTCACCCATTGACATATCAGCACCCATTGCACATGGTAATCTGTTAAACTTTTTAAATCTGTGTGGTAAGGTTTCTTCATATGTGAAGAAGTATGTGTAGCCTTCCATTGGAATTCCAAATCGTTTAGCAAGAATGTCATTGCGTGTTGCTGGTGCTTTTTCTGCTCGTTCAACATCTAATTGGTAAGTCTCATATGTAACGGTCTTACCGATGTTCGGATTGGCTTTTACCCACATTTCTGGATTTGCAACTTCATCAATAGAATCAAGACAGTACCACCAAATCGATACATGAGGATTGTAATATTCACCTTTTAAGATGTCATACAATTCCATTTTGATGGTATCACCCGCTCCATTTCGAACAGTTCCTTCAGATGAGATCGCAACAATAAGATAATCGTCGTTTTTAGATGCACCCTGCTCAATAGCTCCGATTACATCCTCTCGAATGTCTCCAGAAAGCCACTCATCCACAGTAGCAAGTACACATCGTAAACCCTGAAGTTTATCTATTGTCATAGGTCTAATCTCACATAAAGAACCAGTCATGAAATTCTCTATACCCTTTTTAGTTGAGGCCAATTGCTGTCTGTTAGCTTTTGAGCCTGTCGTGTTCTGTAATGAACCTTGAGTTAGGAATTTAAATAGTGGTCCTTTAGCTCTTATTATGGATGTTCGCATAGGAGAAATTACTTCTTCAGCGAGTTTCATTGTTGGAGCTGTCGTGATTTGGTGTGTTGTAGAAGTTACAGCATTTAACCAATAGTTATGTAAGAAGCTTGCGTACATAGATTTTGCAGCGCCTCTAGCTACGATTAAATATTGTTTATTGATAAGACGCTTTCTTATTCTTTTAGTTATGTAGTGTCCTGGTTTGCCTTTCTTACCTGGTACAAATATACTTCGTTCAACAAAGTAGTACCAGCCTAATACTTGTTCTGCCCATAACTTAAAAGACGGTAAGAGATGTACGTCTGATCCGTCTGTTAACGTGAGTTCATCTTCGCAATAACGAATAAATCCCTCAACTTTTTCCGAGTCATAGTAAATTCCCTCGTTTCTGATGAGATCATCTATACGATTCATTTCCATAGAGATCTTTTCATTTACTGGGATCTCGCCTCGTAGTACAGCTTCTCGGAATTCGCCGTAATATTTAGGCACGGCTGTATTACTAAACATTGGTTCTCCTTTTTATCGTTGGTTTTTATTATGGCCTACCGCCGCTATATCGTCTTCTTGAAAGATTGGTTGGCGGCCGTCTTCTAGGCGGGTTGTTGTTAGAGTTATTATTGTTTGAATTGTTATTTCCACTGTTATTGTTACTGTTTGATGATGGGTTTAACATCTCATCTAACTTAGCAATGGTTTCACGCATAGACTTTTCATCTTTAACTCGCTGTAGCATTGCTTTAACTTCCTTATCAGACTTACGGTTAATGTTATTAAGAAACTCTTTATAGTTTGTAACCTTAGTAGGCTGATCGTTAACGCCGAGCTGTTTCTTGACTGCAGCTATAGCCATTTTACCGGCTTTCGAATCAGCAAAAGCTGCGACCTTATTAGCTACGCTCATCATTTTGTCGACTTTCTTGGAAATTTTGTCTATTTTCGAAGGTTCTTTTTTAACATACTGAGCGAGCTGCTGTTCTACCTGAATTCGGTTAATTCTTTCTCGAATCTCTTCTGTTGTAAGTTCTGACTTATGTTTATATAATTCGTTTGCATCAGAAGTTTTAAGAAGTCTAGCGTGTCTTTCGGCCGCAGTTTCTTCTTTTTCTCTCTTTTTAGCTTCTGCTATCTGCTTGTTTCGATCTACTTTTGCACGAAACTTAGCATCTTTCATATATCGCTTTTTACCAGCAGGCGTAAGGCTTCCATCAGAATTCTGAAAACGTCGAATCCCCCAATGTTGACCTTTTATACCATGATGATAGAGTTCATCTTCATTCTCATATATCTCCATTTAGTCACCTCTTTTTTTATCCGAATCCCATCAATTTATGATACTCTTTTTCTAGTTTGTTTAGATAATCGTTTATTTTATTCTTATCGGCATAACTGCCATAACTTTTAGAATTATAGTTTCCATACATTGACGCGTCTTTTAGATCCTGCTGAAATATACTTTCTAGTGCTTTTGTGTGTGATAACAATAACGCCGCGTTCTGTAAAGTAGATTTCGATTCTTCAAATTTATTGCTTTCACCCTTTAACGATTTTATATATTCATTAGCATAAGATTTTACAACGTCGTTTAATGTATTTTCGTATTCCGCTCTTTTTTTACCTATATCTTTTACTCGAGTTTCGAGATACTGTTTTCTTTCTGCTTCCGATTTAGCAACTGCTTCTTTACCATAACCAGATTCTCTTTTATCAGCGTTAGCGTCACGAATATTAGCTTTTGCTTTTCGGAACTGATCGGTTTGTCTTGTTTCTGAAGCTCTCAATTTATTATCTTCAGTTTTCTGACGTTCACGTTCTGCCATTCCTTCTTCTCTGGCTGATTTCTGAGCAGCATCTTTCTTAGCTGATTTTTTAGAAATCTGTTTAGAGAATAGTTTGTTGATTACGTCGTTACCTTTTGATTTCATTTTATCGATTTTACCGATAGCTGTTTTATCGTAATCGTTTTTAGCGGATTCCAATTTATTATCTGTGGCATAACGCATATTATTCATTGCTTTTGCATATGCAGATTGTGGTCCTTTAAGGGCGTCACTCACATGACTATCACGAACTTTTAAAAGTGTTTTAGCATGAGTGTTATCCATTTTAGCTTTCTCATAAGCTTTCTTTTCTTTACCACCGAGTTTTTCGTCGTAAATATACTGCCATTTACCTTTGACCCAGTTTTTAGAAAGATACTTATGATCCTTATGCATTAAATATTCTGTATAGTCGTTTCTCATGTCACACCTCCGGGTAATTAAATGTCCAACTAAGTCGAGCTTCTAGTTCATCTATAGACGATTTTAAAGCTTCCATGGCGGAACCAGACTGAGGCGGATCGAATGAAATTCTTACTTTCTGTGTAACATACTGTTTTATACCGTTGTATTTAGATACATTTGGTGAGAAATCATTCCAAGTTTCGTCAGATCCTTTAATTTCGAACGGAGTAGATGGTCCAACGCCCATCTGATAAAGTATGTAAAACACAGTATTTATGTGTGTTATTAAAGCAGGGTCGAAATCTTCGTAATCGTCATCGACTATTCCTAATCCGATTTTAACGGTTTTTAAGATACTTTCTGACATCGACATTAGTCACCTCTTTTTATTTACGACGTGATGGAAATTTTGTTTTCTTTGTATTCTCAGCTAATTCTTCCCAAAATTCTTCGCTAACACTATATGGATCATTGAGCATTTTGTTTAGATATTCTGGAACATCTCCATCAGTATTATCCATGATCGTTTTTATATGTGTCGCAATTCGTTCTTTTTTTTTCACATAGTCTGATTCGAGACCATATCTTTTGAGTTTATTCGATTTAGCCACAAGATCGTCGACTCGATCATTAATGCGTTTTTTATTGGCTGCGTCTTGTTTCTGTTTTTCGGCTTCACCGTACGCATGTTCACGGCGGTATTTATTTAATGCATTAAGTGGTTTAATCTGTTCTTTTTCAGCATTGCGCTGTCCATATGCTAGCTTGGACTGCTGCTGTTTTTCTCTTTCTCTCTGAGCCATTCCTTCTTCTCTAGCTGATTTCTGAGCAGCATTTTTCTTAGCGTTCTGTTTAGAGAAGAGTTTATCGATTAGATTTTTACCTTTTGATTTTAATTTGTCGATTTTACCGAGAGCAGTTTTATCATAAGCTTTTTTAGCTGATTTTAACTTGTAATCTGACACAAACTTATTATTCGATGCTTCTGAATATTCGGACTGTGCGTTTTTTAATTTTTTAACAGAATCGGCATACTTTACAGACGAGTCTGAAACCGCTTTGTTGTAAGTGTCGTACTTACTTTTGTTAAAGCCGTTTGTATTAGCGTATTTCGATAGCATCTTCTGGTTTGCTTCTAATCTTCGTTTTTCATCACGACGGTTTATCGCAGCATCACTCAGATGACTATCACGAACTTTTAAAAGTGTCTTGTCATGATCGTTGACCGTTTTAGCTTTCTCATAAGCTTTCTTTTCTCTACCGCCGAGTTTTTCATCGTAAATATACTGCCATTTACCTTTAACCCAGTTTCTAGAAAGATACTTATGATCCTTATGCATTAGGTATTCTGTGTAGTCGTTTCTCATATTATACCTCCTCGAGATATTTCTTCATAACCCAACCAGAATTATTTGTGAGGGTTACTTTAGCCCATTCTTTTTCGACGTTTTCAACGGTTAGTGTTGTATTAGTTGCTAATACAGTGATAATCTTTCCGTCAGGCTTATCTCTGAGGTTGAGATTCTGGCAACCTGTTACTTTTGCTGTAAATCTCGCCGGTTCCATAACAGGTGCTTTTTCGATTTCCGGTAATGGTTCGTTAACATTTTCACATACTGATTCTTTATCTACAACGATTGGTTCTTTTACGTCTTCAATCTTTTCTGATTCTCGAATCTTGTGATAGTTAATTTTTTTCTTCAGTTCATTCATGTGGCATTCCTCCTCCATGGACATGTATCATTCGGTGTTCGTATTGTTACGGGCTCGTATACAGAATCTCCGTCATTTCCGAAATGTATCATGTCGTGTGTTCGTTTTCGTGTGCAAATTAGAAACTCAGGATCTAGCAAATATCTTGAACGATTGATTACGTCTTCTTTGGTTATAGGATTCATATGATGCACATAAATCCTGCCAGCTATTTCGTAATCTCGCATCGCTAAGTCGCATCCGAAATCTCTGTTTATTACGTCATACCTTATCTTTTTCCATTCATCGGTTTTGTAGAATGTCTGATTAAGCCATCGGTCAATACCAAATGTATCTTTTCCAACTTTACCATCAAGTTTTAGGTATTCGTAACGTGCTTCAAACGTGTCGAGTAAAAGAATATCACTGTATGTTCTGATTCTAGTAGTATTCTTCGTCTTCCTCGTCATCGTCTTCATCACCGCCATTACCGCTATATCGTTGCATTGCTGAAATAGCCTGCTGATACATCTCTTCAGTTTTCTTAGCATCTCGAATCTGCTCGGTTTTAGCCGTAATGAGTTCTTTCTGTCTCTCTAATATCTCTTTCTCGATTCTTTCCTTGGTTGTACCGAGTTTAAGATAATGAGTGATCACCTGTGAGCTTGCTGTTCCGTCTCTAAGCTGTTGTTCAGCTAATTCAATTGCTAAATTTATCATTTGATTCTCTCTAGCTTCTGATGATAGAGCCGGTCGCATAGGTTTGTATGTAGTTTCTGTTTCTTTGGTCTTCTTTTTAGCCATTACTATTCGTCCTTTCATGTCAATAGAATATCTTTTTAGTAACTTTCACCGACCTTTTCACCAGTATTTAAAGAGAAAGGAGACCAAAAATCTTTAAACCAAGGAACAAAGCAAAGCAGGTATTGTGTATCAAAAGGACTGCATGTGAAAAGATCGGTGAAAAATACTAAAAAGGTTTTTCAAATATAAACCCCCGGGGAAAATATCAAGAGTACTCTGCGTTGATACCACTGCTT